CCCGCACCTCGCTCAGCCAGTGAGCGGCCGGTCTGTATGTGGGATCCGAACCCTCGGCAGGAGCGCCACCGCGCTCCCAAGCGGCGCACTGTAGCAGTGCGCCACCGGGCCGGCCCCAGGAAACAGTTTTTAAATAGAGTTTTCAGACAACCAGCCAGGCAGCAAGTCCCACTTTCCCCTCACTGGATGTGCCCCAGGAGGACCTGCCGGCCAGCTGTCTGCACGGCCATGATCCCAACTGTGGATTCCTTCTGGATATAAAAGTAGCCAGGCCTCTGCCCTCAGGTGCCCCTGGCCTGGTGTGGGGACATATATAGAACAGAGCTGAGGTAGGTGAGAAGAGCCACCCTCAGCCGGCGTGGACCCAGGCTGGGGTGAGGACCTTGCCCGGGAGCACTGGGAAGCTGGGTGCAGAGCCCTCGTGGCGCTGTGCTGGCAGGCTGCTCCTCGCCACGCTATCCTTAGCACCCTGACCTTTGGGCCCTCGCAGGTCAGAAAGCTTAGTGTGGTGTGACTGTATGTGGCCAGTCTTTGGATGACTTGTCTTGCAGGCAGCTTCCAGAGCCTGATGGAAGTCAAATCACTGGGGCTGTTACAACGCACCCGCATGTGAAGTCTGGCAAGCCTCCATTTGTGCCACGCACACGATACTTTTTTTTTTTTTTTTTTTTTTTTTTTTGCTGTGGCTTTGCTGGTGGCTCCTGCCGGCGCCACAGCTCGGGCAGGGACTGGGCGTGTGTGTGTGTGCACGAGTGTGGAGCTTTAGCTGGCATGGACGCGCCTGGGTGCCTGGCTGAGAGCGGGTGTAGCTGCTGCTTGTGTGGATGAGTCTTTCATTTGGCGCACCAAGTGGGCCTTTGTCCCCTGAGGTCTTGGGATGGCTCTTCGCTTTGTGACTCTCTGTGCACGTGATGAGCTCCTCATCTGGTTTAGTGCTCCTGGGACAAAGTGTGGGCCCTGCAGCCCTTCAGGTGACAGACAGGTTACAATGGGACAGTTGGCAGTCCCCCATTACTTTCAGATGCTGCATGAGGCAGGCAGGAAGGGACAAGCAGTTGCTGAGGAAGCCCAGATCAAGAAGGAAAGATGCATACAGGTTGCTCTGCCGGAGAAAGGGGCAGGGAGAGCGCTGACAGGGAGAGACAGAGGGACAGAGGACAGCCACGCCACAGAGGCAATGGGCATGGCACTGAAGAGAGAGGAGACAGGAGGGGAATGACACATGCTGACTCTGGAAGAAGAGGGTTCACTGCCGTCCCCACTGCCACCCAGACCCGCCCCCACCCACACAATCCACCCACTCCAGACCCCACTTCCCTTCCACACACACCTGAACCCTGCCCAGTCCATGCCCCCAGAGCCCCCCCCCTCACCCTCACTCCCACCCCCACGTGGTACCTGCCTCCCGTGTGC